TATTGGTTGTTAATCAGAAAAAACAAGCCATGAATTTGCGCCTTGAAAATCTACGTGCCCTAATGTAGGTTAACCTTTTTTTGTCATCAAACAATGTTTCGTCATTAGTCGATTTTTATTCATTTGGCAGTTGATGTATGGAAGGAGCAAGCATCGGTTTTCCATTGTCTGAAAGACTTACGAGTATAACACGTTGAAACACCGATTCTATTACTACCACCAAAGTTAAGCAACGTTGAGCCTGGTCAGTACCTAGATGAGCGAACGCGTGGGATTAGCAGGTTCTGTAAACATGGATGCGTGGGTGGCGTAAAGATTAACGACTCGGAATTGGAAATCGGAGAGCCTAGTTCCAATTCCACTCAGGCTCTTTATATCCTCTTACGCGCAAAAATACTCTTAGGTAACTTTTCTTCCCCACTAGCTATGGGTTAATTAGTAGGATATTATAAAATTATTATTATCTCCAAATAATTCTTATAATCTAAAAATATTTTCTCAGGTGTCGAAAATGCTCATTTTTGTCTGCTAGGCACTCTATCGTCATAAACACTCAAGAAAATAAAAAAAAAAAAACAATAAAAATGTTGTAGAGAAAGAAGAGAACAATAAAAAAAATGGGAAACTACGGTAAACCATTTTCTTTGTTAATTCAAATAACATTGTAAAAACGAATGAATGGTACCTAGATTTATGAATTTAAGCGCAGTACTCGATTGGCGGCTAGGTTTCATCATTTTACAGCTGAAATGGCTAGATGTCACCGTAAATTCTATGCTAAAAGTTTCTTCTCAGTTATTCTGATGAACTATCCTCTATGGTACCTAGATTTATGAATTTAAGCGCAGTACCAGATTGGTGGTTAGGGCTCATTATTTTACATTTATGAATTTCAGTGCAGTACTAGATTGATCAAATCCGGACCTGCAATCTTGAAATTTTGGATTCCCAAGATTTCATTATTGCGATTGTTTTCGGATTCCGTCATCTTAGGCTTCTACTGATAAAAACAATCAAAGGGACATAACTCTGTAAATTTCAATAGCTAATGTTCAAAAAAGGTCTCATCATTTTACACTTGAAATGGCTAGATGTTACCATTAAGTTCTACGCTATGTTTGTCTTCTTGCGCTTCTAGCGGCTTCTTGCTTGTGGAACTCAATAGCGGCTTCTTGCTTTCCAGTAAACTTTGATCTTCAAACATTTACATCCGATGTCATTTATTAAGCTTCTGTCTTCATCATTCTTGTTCTTTTAGTGTTCTCTTTCCTTTACAATCTTTTTTTCTCCTATTCTCTAACACTAAGGAACCCCTTTGCGTCTAAGTGGCTTTATTGCCTTGTTTTTTTTTCCTGCTCATGTGGTTTCGTCTCGTTATTTTCATATTCATTTTCTCTTGTGGTTTGCCATTTTCTGTTGTTAGTGCCGTTTTAATTCAAACCTCAGCGCATAACATTTTGTGGGTGGCGGCGGGAAGAAACGGATAATTAATTTACTACAGACCAATTAGACAATTTACGTTACTTAAAGTCGTCGCTCTATCTGAAATAGGCTTTAGTAAGGGAGCCTATCTAAACCTTGTAAGCAGTGCCTCAAATACTTTTTTTTTTAAAAAAAGAAAAGGATAATTCGAAAAGAAAGAGATTTCGAAAATTTAATAAAAACAAATTCTAAAAGACAGAAACACATTTAGTATATTACTAGACAGGAAAATATTCAAAATTATTTTTCTTTAGTTTTATTTAAAAGTTTCTTTTTGTTGTTAATTTCTTCAGTGCTGAAACGCAAAGTCGCCATTCTCAAGGGTTGAGAGGAGGGGTTTGTCACTATGACGTCTCAGAAGCCTCCCCCTTCAACCACAGTGATTTCGTCTTGCTGTATTTCCCACTCTCTTAGCCTAACCAACCACAGTGCATTTGGTTTTTTAAAAACGGAGAATTATTTTTGAAGTCAGCCACAGACTTTTCACTTCGAGGTTAGCAAGATTGACATGAAATTTGAATTTAAGTAATCAGCATCGCTTTTTCCATGACGCAATTTCAATTTTAATAAGCCTATTCAATGATCCATCTAGATAAATAAATGCGAATGTCAGTGTGTCACTATGTCAAACTTTTTCAACTTTACTCCTAGAGGGCCGTAGCCCAACATATACCATTTTGGAATCAAGCCAAATTCGTGAGTAAATTTAAAACATTCCGGGTCAAATCCGGACCCGCAATCTTGAAATTTTGGATTCACAAGATTTCATTATTGCAACTGTATTCAGATTCCGCCATCTTAGGCTTCTACTGATAAAAAAAAATAAAGGGACATAACTCTCTAAATTTCAATAGCTAATGTTCAAATGAAGAAAAGTACTGTTCTGAAATTAGTGTTTCAAAATAAAATTGTCCGTTTTCAACTTCAATCCCAGAGACCGTAGTCCAGCACATCGTACCATTTTAGAATCAGGCCGACCCCGTGAGCAAATTAAAAACATTCCTGGACGGATATGGACCCGCATCCCTGGAATTCTAGATTCACAAATTTTTATTAATGCGATTGTTTTCGGGGATTATTTTACGCGATTTTTTGGTACGATACCAATTTTTATAACTTGGAAATAATTGAAATTAATTGTGAAATCCAGCATAATTCATATATGAAATAAAAAATAATTGTTTGTATGGAAAGTAAGGACCTACGTACATCAGATTTTCTTTAAATTAAGCAGTGGTAGTAGAATTATCGTTGAACTTTTAAAAAGTAAGCTTAAATATTAATGCAATACTTAAACGTGGCGATCAATTTTGAGTTCTTCATTAGTTTATTGTCGCAACGTGTGGCACCATGCATAAGTTGGCAGGCTGAAAAGAAATATTCATAAATATATGATTTGTTTTTTACGGTTTGTCAACCATTTGATAATTATTTAGAACTGAAAAATATTTGGGTTTTGAGAATAATTCTTTAATTGCGTCCAAGCTATCTGGGAGAAAGAAAGAGAAGAAGAAGAAAAAGAAAGAAAAAAATATAATACGAAAACCAGTTCATAGTCGAACACACACACACTCGATTGATACATAACAGATGTTGGAAGGTATCCCGGTCAAACACCTGACCTACTTCCGTGTCCACGAAAAATGTAGGTTTGTTATCAATTTGGTTGAAGAAATAAAGTTTAGAGACAATGGAAAAAAATATGATAGGTAATAGGTGGGAAGTTTATCTAAGGATATACAGGCAAACCATTAATACGAAAACCCAGACCATTCCAGAATTGAAAATAAAGCCACAAAAGAATGATGTTGGCTGAAAATGTTTTTTTTGAGATAATGAAAAATTTTATTATCAGGCCTTTGGCCGCGAAAAGAAAAAATTGAAGTATTTTTATTAGTTCACGAAAACGCCACCCAGTCTGAGAAAATCCTTTCTTAGATCGTATCCAATTAGCGATAAACTGTTTGACAAATACCGCGTGTAAAAAAACCGAGAGCGTCATTTCGGTCACGTACGAAAAGGCAATTTAAATTTTTGTTTCTTTAAGCAAGGTGTTTCTTCCCCAGAACAAAGCCACGGATTGTCCACGCCCGATTAAAGACGTCACGAAAGGAGGAGGAAAGATACCGACCAGAGCCTCATTGGCCGAAGGCGGTCACATGATACATGAGGGGAGGAGGAGACACCCGACCAGGACCCCATTGGCCGAGAGCGGTCACATGACGTGCGAGAGAGGAGGAAAGATGCCCGACCAGGACCCCATTGGCCGAGAGCAGTCACATGACATACGAAGGAGCTGGGAAGCGAGTATACGCCCCAGAGGCACAGTAAGGGGAGTAGGAGGAAAGTATGTTACCGAAAATGGAAAATCCCTAATCAGAAATAAGAAGGGTGGATACGTATTTAGAATTATCAAGAAAACCCTGGCGCCGACAGACCCACCCCAGTTTTTGACTGCATCAATAAAAGCGGGACCCCAACCGACAGAAATCAGAGTTGCACCGCGGACGGCGAGGGAGTTTGAGCGCGGGCGGCGGGCCCGGTTCATTCGCCCCCTTGCGGGCAAGAGAAGCCGAAGTGAAGCAGCCCGTTTGGCCTAAGTGGAGTGACCAATAATTCAGACTCTGAAGAGAGAAGAGTTTGCGCCTCGGACGGCGAGAGAGATCAGCCGTGAACGACAGGCAGAGAGTTTGCGCCGCGGACGGCGAGAGAGATCAGCCGTGAACGACAAGCAGAGATCAGCGCTCAGTGTTGAAACCAAACCACACCCCTAAATGCAAATTTCTAGAGAGCAGGCAACTCGAAGCCTTAAAGTTGCCTGGTAGAAGCGTGGTGCCACAGTCCACAGAACGGGTCGGGAGGTAGGAATAATCTTGTGTAACGAGCAATTAGATATAAAAAGTTGTTACCTTTTTCTTCAATATTTTTGACATGTGAGTTTTTATTTTTCTTGTGTGTTATCACCCCCGTTGGACTCAGCTTGCATACGGCCCAATACCTGTTTGATCCCGTCTGTGTAAGATCTAATCACAACGTGGGTAGGCAGACCGGAGATCAGTGCAGTTACCCTGGTAACCAGGCGTTGGAAGCGGGTTGGGAACGACGAGGCTGGTATTCATCTAACCAAAGGGTTAGAACGTCACACTTGGAGCAGCGAGGAGCGAACAGCTGGCGCCGCGAACGGGATCGAACGACACAGTCGACGCTGCGACCAGGGGGGACGACGTCACAAACGTATCCCTTACAAAAAGAAATCTTCGCCAACAGAGAACCAGATTTGCAATAAAAAATAGCCAATGCTGCAGCGAGAAAAAAGAAAGTCCCGTGCAAATGAAAACCCATCTCAAACAGCAGCCAGGAGAGCTTCCAATGCTGAGAATATGCAAAAACTGAGGGACTCTCAAACTCCAGACCAAGGTGCATCCAGAAGAGCATTGAATGCTCTTCCGAAGAGGAGAGAAAGGGCATTAGAAACACATGAACAAGATGAATCTAAGAGAACTTCCAATGTAGCCAACATGAAAAGCGTAAGGGATTCAGAATCATTAGAGCAATCAGAAATCAGGTGAGCTTCCAATGCTGTACAACAACGAAAATCAAGACAGAATGCAGTCAAACTTGAGAAACTTGCTTTTCAATATGAAGCAAATCAAGACTACGCCTCCCTACCTGTTGTGATTGTTTGAGATCAACAAAGAATTCAACTACTGTGGAGCATTGAAAATCCAGGATGAATCCCAATGGAAAGATCAAACTCTCCAGCTCTACCAGAACCACTCAAGTCATTGTTGGCTGGATCCACTCATGAGTCCCAGGATTTCCTGAAGATTAGAGCTTACAACAATGTATTTTAAATCAAGAGAACTCCGCAGGTCGGCTTTTAAGCTAGCCTTTAATAACTGGAACGACTCTCGCACTAAACGTGATTGCAAATAGCTTCATTTGTTATATAGGGAAAAACAAATCAGTTTTTGACTGTATTTTTCGCTAGAATGTTTATAGTAGTCATCATCATTTATTCAGTTGGCGTATTTTTTTGCCGCTGCCTCTCCATCACTTTCTGTTTGACGCTGCACTTACAACCTCAGCCACCATCATTCCAGCCCACCTCTTAATATCCTCAAGCCAAGACATGGTTGGACGTTCCTGGCACCGTTTACCCTCCCTCTAATGGGCCCAGCAGAATGTCCTTATCAGAACCGCCTCGTTGCATATGCCCAAAGAGATTTGTGAATTTAAGCGCAGTACTAGATTGGCGTTGAGGTCTCATCATTTTACAGTTGAAATGGCTACATGTAACCATAAGTTTTATGCTAACAATTTCTTTTATCGCACTTCTCGTTTATGGAACATACTTCTGGTTTCTTGCTTCCCAGTCAACTTTGACCTTCAAAAAATTTAAACGCCACATCAATCGCTATCTATTATCTTCCTGATTGTTATTTTTTGTTCTCGCTCCTTAGCAATATATCTGTTTTCTAATTTTTCCATAACCAGTAACCCCTTGTGACTTAGTGGCTTTACTGTCGTTCTTGAGGTGAGCTCGATTGAAAAAAAAAGAAATGAAAGATGTTTAGACGAACTGTATTGCTTACTTTCACCAGTTCAGACATTCACATCTCGAACACGCATATTTCTTTCTTTTTTTCTATTTCCTTCCATTCTTTCTTTTTCTCTTTCCTTCCATTCTTTCATTATTTCTTTTTTTCTCCTTCCTTCCGTTCTTTCTTTCTCTTTTCTTTCTTTTCTTTTTTCTATTTCCTTCTATTATTTCTTTATTTCTTCTCTCACATTCCTTCTGTTCTTTCTTCCTTTTTTCTCTTTCCTTTCATTCTTTCATTCTTTTTCGTTTTCCTTCCAATTTTTCTTTCTTTATTCACTTATTTATTTACTCTTTCTTTCTTCCTTTCTTTTCCTTTCTTTCTTCCTTTATAACTTCTTTCTTTCTTTTTTATATCTCTTTCCTTACATTGTTTCTTTCTTTCTTCCTCTTATAGTTCATGATTCAATTAAATATTTACTGATTAATTCTTTCTCTTACTTTACTTCCTTCCTTCCCCTTTCATTATTGTTTGTTTACTGCTTCTTTCTTTCTTTCTTTCTTTCTTTATTTCTTGCTTTATTTCTTTCTCTTTTCATTTTTTAATCATTCATTTACTCTTCTTTCTTTCTTCATTTATTTCTTTCTTTCTCATTCATTATTTATTTTTACAGCTTCTTTCTTTATTTCTTTTTAAATTTCACTTTCCTTCCATTCTTTCTTTCTCTTTACTTTCATTTTTTCTTTCTTTCTTTCTCCTTGGATTACTTAATTATTTATTTATTGCTGTTTCTTTCTTTCTTTTTCTTCCTGTTTGTTATTCAATTAATTATATACTGCTTCTTTCTTTCTTTCTTTCTTTCTTTCTTTCTTTCTTTCTTTCTTTCTTTCCCGTTCGTTATTCAATTATTCATTTATTCTTCCTGTCCTTCTTTCTCTCTTTCTTCTTTTATTTATTCAACTTTCTCTTTCTTGATTATTTTTCTCTTTTCATCCTCATCTTGACTGCTTTTTGGTTGCATTTTTATTATCTTTTGTCTTTATTCCATTTTCCTTCAATGTGTTATTCTCATTTCGTTCACTCTCCTGTTTTTCTTTCTTTTTCATTTGGTTCTGTTACTTTATCTCTTTTTGTTTCTACTTCTCTTTCATTCTTTCTCTTGCACTTTCATTCTTTCTCTTTCATCATTTCTTTTTTTTATCTTTTTTTCCTTCACTTTTTCTTTTGTTTTTTTCCCCTTCACTTTGCCTTTTATTTCTTTTTTTTACGATCGTTCTTTCTTTACTTCTCTCTCTATCTTTTTCTCATTCCTTTTTTTTTAATTATTCTTTCTGCCTTTTCCTTTCTTCGTGCTTTTTTCTCGCTTTCATTCGAATCTTCTTTCATTATTTTTCACTTTCATAAACTTTTCTCTAGTTATTTAACCTTTTCATTTTTTCTGCTTTTTTATTCTTCTTTCTTTCTTTCTTTCTTTCTTTCTTTATTTATTTATTTATTTATTTTATTTAATTTCTTTGATCGTTCTTTCTTTCTTTATTATTTTCTGTCATTAACTTTTCTGTTATTAATATTTTTTTTCATTATTTACGATTTTGTTTGTTAAACATTTTTTCTTTTATTCTTTCTCTTTCCTTCCTTCCATTCTTTCCTTCTTTCTTTTTCCCTCTTTCCTTCCTTCCATTATTTCTTTCTTTCCTTTTCCCTCCATCCTTCCTTCCATTCTCTCCTTCTTTCTTTTTCCCTCTTTTCTTCCTTTCATTCTTTCCTTCTTTCTTTTTCCCTCTTTCCTTCCTTCCATTCTTTCAACCTTTCTTTTCCCCTTTTTCCTTCCTTCAATTCTTTCTTTCTTTTCCCCTCCTTCCTTCCTTCCATTCTTTCTTTCTTTTTCCTTCTTTCCTTCCTTCCATTATTTCCTTCTTTCTTTTTCCCTCCTTCCTTCCTTCCATTATTTCCTTCCTTCTTTTTCCCTCCTTCCTTCCTTCCATTCTTTCCTTCTTTCTTTTTCCCTCCCTCACTCCTTCCTTCCTTCCTTCCTTCCATTCTTTCTTTCTTTCTTCTTCTATTCTTTTATTCTTTCTTTTCCCCTCTTTCCTTCCTTCCATTCTTTCCTTCTTTTTTTCCCCTCTTTCCTTCCTTCCATTCTTTCTTTCTTTCTTTCATTTTCCCTCCTTCCTTCCTTCCTTCCTTCCATTCTTTCCTTCTTTCTTTTTCCCTTTTTCCCTCCTTCCATTCTTTCTTTCTTTCTTTCTTTTTCCCTCCTTCCTTCCTTCCATTCATTCTTTCTTTTTCCCTCTTTCCTTGCTTCCATTCTTTCAACCTTTCTTTTTCCCTCTTTCCTTTCTTCCATTCTTTCTTTCTTTCTTTTCCCCTCCTTCCTTCCTTCCTTTCATTCTTTCACTCTTTCTTTTTCCCTCTTTCCTTCCTTCCATTCTTTCTTTTTTTTTCCCTCCTTCCTTCCTTCAATTATTTCCTTCTTTCTTTTTCCCTCCTTCCTTCCCTCCTTTCTTCCTTCCTTCCTTCCTTCCTTCCTTCCATTCTTTCTTTCTTTCTTCTTCCATTCTTTAAAGCCTTCTTTCTTTTCCCCTCTTTCCTTCCTTCCCTTCTTTCTTTCTTTTTCCCTCCCTCCTTCTTTCTTTCCATTCTTTCCTTCTTTCTTTTTCCCTCCCTCCTTCTTTCTTTCCATTCTTTCCTTCTTTCTTTTTCCCTCTTTCCTTCCTTCCATTCTTTCCTTCTTTCTTTTTCCCTCCTTCCTTCCTCCCTTCCATTCTATCTTTCTTTCTTTCTTTATCCCTCCTTCCTTCCTTCCATTCTTTCCTTCTTTCTTCCTCTTATAGTTCATTATTCATTTAAATATTTACTGCTTTTTCTTCTTTTCTCTATCTTTACTTCATTCTTTTCCCCTTTCATTATTTAATTATTTATTTACTATTTTTTCTTTCCTTCTTTCTCCTTAGTTATTCAATTACTTCTTCACTGCTTCTTTCTTTCTCTTTTCATTATTTAATTATATATATTCCTCTTATTTCTTTCTTTCTTTCTTTCTTTCATTCTCATTTCTTCTCTTCTTTCTTTCTCTTTCATCTTTTAATTATATATTTACTGCTTCTTTCTTTCATTCATTCTTTTTCTTTCTCTTTCTTTCCATTTTTCTTTCTTTCTCTTTCAGTTCATTATGCAGTTATTTATTTACTGATTCTTTCTTTCGCTTTCTTTATATCTTCCTTCCCCTTTCATTATTTAATTATTTATTTACTGCTTTTTTCTTTCTTTCTGGTTCGTTATTCAATTTCTTATTTACTGCTTCTTTTTTCTTTCTTTCTTTTTCGTTCGTTATTCCATTATATGTTTACTGCTTCTTTTTTTCTTTCTTTATTTAATTCTTTCTTTCTTTCCTTCACTTTTTTCTTTCTCATCCAGTTCATTATTCAGTTATTTATTTACTGCTTCTTTCTTTCTCTTTCTTTACTTCCTTCCTTCCTCTTTCATTATTTAATTCTTTATTTACTGCTTCTTTCTTTCTTTCTTTCTTTCTTTCTTTCTCGTTCGTTATTCAATTACTTATTTACTGCTTCTTTTTTCTTTCCTTCTTTCTTTTTTGTTCGTTATTCCATTATATGTTTACTGCTTCTTTTTTTCTTTCTTTCTTTCTGTCTGTCTCTATTTCGTTTTTTTTGTTTATCGTTCTTTCGGTCTTTCATCTGTCATTCACATTTCGTTTATTATTAATCTTTTTTTCATTCTTTATCGTTTTATTTATTAAACATTTTTTAAAAACTTTTCCTTCTGTCCTTTTAATACATTTCTATCTTTACCCACCCGCCACGTTTTTGCCAATGTTTCCTCGTTTGTTTTTCGATCTTGCTGCTCCTCCTCCTTTCCAACGTTTTCTTCGATTTTCTTGGATTTAATTAGGTATGATTTCCCGTAAATATTTCCGTAGGAAAGACGGAAGAAACAAAAACCAAGAATATCTCACAACCACAAACAAGCCCTTATCACACGCACCCTCGACCCGACAATTTAATGTATAACTAATTTTCGTATTATGCGAGAAATTAATTAATACGATGTAGCTTTCGATACGATAACAAAAAGTTGAAACCGTAAGGATGATTCTTGTAATAAATGATAATGAGGATGGTTCTTATCATAAATGATAATGAAGATGATTTTTCTGATAAACGATAATGAGGATGATTCTTATAAATGAAAATAAGGATGATTCTTATGATAAATGTCAATGTGGATAACGCTTATTATAAATGATAATGAGAATGATTCGTATCATAAATGATAATGAAGATAATTCTCATCATAAATGATAATGAGGATGACTCTTATCATAAATGATAAAGAGGATGATTCTTATCGTAAATGATAATGAGGATGATTCTTATAACTGACAATGAGGATGATTCTCATCAGAAATGATAATTAAGATGATTATTATGATAAATAATAAAGAGGATTATTTTCATGATAAATGACAATGAGGATGATTCTTATCATAAATGATAATGAAAATAATTCTCATCATGAATGCTAATGAGTTTGATTCTAATGATAAATGATAATGAAAATGAACCTTATGATAAATGAAAATGAGGATGATTCGTATCATAAATGATAATGTGGTGATTCTTATGATAAATAATAATGAGGATGACTCTAAATATAAATGATAATGAGGATGATTCTTATCGTAAATGATAATGAAGATGGTTTTTATGAAAAATTATAAAAAGGATGATTCTTATCATAAACGATAATGAGGATGATTCTTATGATAAGTGACAATGAGGATGATTCTCATCATAAATGATAATTAAGATGAATCTTATGATAAATGATAAAGTTGATTATTCTCATGATAAATGACAATGAGGATGATTCCTATCATAAATGATAATGAAGATAATTCTCATCATAAATGATAATGTGTTTGATACTTATGATAAATGAAAATGAGGACGATTCTTATTATAAATGATAATGAGGATAATTTTAATGATAATGAGGATGATTCTTATTGTTATGGGATCTTACCCATAATAATAATAATGGATTATTCCATACCTAATAAATACTGTGCCTCGGGAGTAAGCAGAGAGGCAGCAGTTCAAGTCGACTCAAGAGTCGAGTCAGAGGCAGTCCGAAACAGAGTCGCGTTCAGACCATTACTGCAAGACATTGGAATAGTGATACTGGTCGAGACTACACTGTTCTCTCTACTAAACCTGATTGTTCATACGAACACTTCTACTTCTTTGTATATATTCCTGTTTGTAATATATCTGTGTTATTCCATATTCGAGTTCTTCTTTATTGGTTCTACCTTGGACTATCACCGTGGTACAAGGAACCGGACGATAATACTTATGATAAGGCAGATGATTCTAATGATAAATAATAATGATTATTCTTATGTAGAATGATAATGGAGATGAATCTCATAATAAATGATGAGAATCATTCTAATGATAAATGACAATGAGGATGATTATTATCATAAATGATAATGACGATGATTATTATGATAAAAGATAATAAGAATAATTCTCTTCAGAAATGATAATGACGATGATTCTTTTGATAATGAGGATGACTCTTATGGTAAAAATAATGTTTCTAATGATAAAAAATTATAATGATGTCTCTTATAATAAATGATAATGGTGATGATTCTTATGCAAATAATAATGATGATAATTCCCATCGTTAATGATAATGAGGGTGATTTTTATGATAATGTGCATGATTTTTTTATAAATAATAATGAGGTTGTTTCTCATGATAAATGATAATCATCATGATTTTTATGATAAATGATAATGAAAATAATTCTTATGATAATGAGAATGAGTCATATGATAATAAGGATGATTCATATGATAATGAAGATGATTCAAATGATAAATGATAATGAGGATGATTCTTTTCATAGTTGATAATGATGACGATTCTTATGATAAATGGCTAGACTGCTGATAATAGTAATTATCTCAAGCTTAAAGACAACATCAACAAAGGTTATCGAGGCTATTTTTTGAAAGAGTGGCTCTTCTACTTCGGGTCATAGTGTAGTATCTGTTTGGTCACTGGCTTTCGTTGCAAAAGTAACTGCCCGATTAGAAAATAATTTAATGAATATCAGATACGGACTTTTTCAATGATCTGGTATCAGTCTGCTTGTTTTTCTTTTATATACAAACATGATACCAGACGCTTCCTCTGTAGCTAAATAGTATAGCACGTCTGATCTGTGTGTGTGTGTTAATTAGTACATATACACGTACCTACATTTTTGTCGTGCGACTATAGTTTCTGCAGGGGGTGTTGCCATTTCGTCAGGATTATTTATTTGCCTATGAACACTACCAAACGCGTACGTACACGCCTGCTTATATTTGGCCGTTTCATTTCT